ACATACATATATATAAATGGACTATCTGTTAATCTATTAATGGACACTTAGGTTGTTTCCATGTCTTGGTCACTGTAAACAGTGCTGCGATAATCATGGAGGTGCAGATATCTTTTTGAGGTAGTGATTCTGTTTCCATTGGACAACTACCCAAAATAGAATTGCTGGATCATATGGCAGTTCTATTTTTAATGTTTGTAGGAATCTGCGTATTGCTTTCCATAGTGGCTACACAAACTTACATTTCCACCAACAGTGCATGAGGGTTCTCTCTTCTCCATATCCTCTCTAATACTTGTTATTTCTTGACTTTTTAATAATAGCCATTCTAATATGTGTAAGGTGATACCTCACTGTGGCTTTGAGTTGTATTTCTCTAATTAGTGATGTTGGACATCTTTTGATATGCCTGTTGACCATCTGCATGTCTTCTTAGGAAAATTTTCTATTCAGATTATTTTTTTCTTAAATTGTTGACTTAAATGAGTTCTTCATATATTCTGAATACTAACCACTAATTGGATATATGCTTTGTAAATATCTTTTGCCATTTGATAGGTTGTCTTTTCGTTTTGCTTATGGTTTCCTTTGCTGTGCAGAGCTTTTTAGACTGATGAGTCCCATTTGTTTTAATTTTGCTTTGTTTCCTCTGCCTGAGGATACATATCCAGAAAGATATTACTAAGACTGATGTCAAAAGTGTACTGCCTATGTTTTCTGCTAGGGGTTTAATGATTTTACATTTTACATTCAAATCTTTAACCCATTTTGAGTTAACTTAGTGTATGGTGTAAGACAGGGTCTAGCTTCAGTATTTTCCATGTGGCTGTCCAGTTTTCCCACCGTGATTTATTGAAGAGACTCTCCTTTCTCCATTCTATGTTATTTGTTCCTTTGCTGTAAATTGTCCATATATATACATGGGCTTATTTCTGGGCTCTCAATTCTGTCCCATTGATTTGTGTCTGTTTTTCTGCCATTACCATGCTGTTCTGTTTACTACAGATTTGTAGCATAATTTGAAATCAGGGAGTGTGATACCTCCAGCTTTGTTTTTTTCCCCTCAAGATTGCTTTGGCTATCTAGGGTCTTTTGCAGTTCTATACAGACTGAAGGATTTTTTGTTCTATTTCTATGAAAAATGTCATTGGTATTTTGATGGGGATTCTACTGAATCTGTAAGTTGCTTTAGGTAATGTAGATATTTTAGCAATGTTAATTTTGCAATCCCTGAGCATGAAATACCCTTCTATCTCTTTGTGTCTTATACAATTTCTTTCAACAATGTCTTAAAGTATGCAGTGTACAGGTCTTTCACTTGCTTGGATAAATTTATTCCTAGGTATTTTATTCTTTTCATTGCAAGTGTAAAAGGAAGTGTTTTATCAATTTCTCTTTATGCTAGTTCACTTAGTGTATAGAAATACAACAGATTTTTGTATATTGATTTTGTATCCTGCAAATTCACTGCATTGGTTTATTATTTTTAATAGTTTTTCCGTTTTCTTTATTAAGTCTTTTCTATATAAAATCATGTCATTCACATATAGTGACAGTTTCATTTCTTCCTTTCCAATTTGGATGCCTTTTTATTACTTTTTCCTACCTAATTGCTCTGGCTAGTACTTCCAGCACTATGTTGAGTAAGGGTAGCAAGATTTGCCATCCTTGCCTTGTTCCTCATCTTAGAGAAAAAAACTTTCAGTTTTTCCCATTGAGTTTGATGTTAGCTGTGGGTTTATCATATATGGCTTTCACTCTGTTGATGTTTGATACTCCTGTACTCATTTTATTGAGAGTTATTAATCATAACTGGCTGTTGGCTCCTGTCAAATGTTTTTTCTCTGAATCTTTGATAGAATCATGACTTTTATACTTTTTGTTAATGTGTTGAATCATGTTGATTGATTTGTGGGTACTGAATCATCCTTATATTCTTGGAATAAATTCCTTTTGACCATGGTGTATGACCCTTTTAATATATTGCTGTATTTGGTTTGCTGATGCTTTGTTAAGAATTTTTGCATCTATGTTCATCAGGCATACTGGCATGTAACTTTCTCTTTGTGTGTTGTCCTTGTCTGGTTTTGGTATCAGGATAATGTTGGCCTTGTAAGAAGAGCTATGAAGTGTTCCCTTCTCTTCTGTTGTTGGGAAGAATTTGAGAAGAATACTAATTTTTAAATGTTTGGTAGAATTCACAAAGTAAGTCATCTAGTCCTGGACATTGTTTCTTGGGAAGTTTTGATTACTGTTTCCTTCTCCCTACTAATGATCAGACTACTCAGATTTCCTATTTCTCATGATTCAGTCTTTAAAAAATGTATGATTCTAAGAATTTATCCATTTCTTCTAGGTTGTCCAATCTGTTGGTGTATAGCTGTTCACAGTATTTTCTTATGATCTTTTACATTTCAGTGATTTCTTTGGGTAATTTCTTGTTTCTGACTTTATCTGTCTTCTCTCTTTTTTTCTTAGTGAGTCTAGCTAAAAGTTTGTCAGTTGTGTTTCTCTTTTAAAAGAATCAGCTCTTAGTTTCAGTGATCTCTTTATTGTCTTTTTAGTCTCTATTGCTGCTCTGATTTTTATTTCCTTCCTTCTACTAATTTTAGCCTTTGTTCCTCTTTTTTTTCTTACTCTTTCCTTTAGGTGTAAGGTTAGATTGTTTATTTGAGATATTTCTTGTTTCTTGAGGTAGGACTGAACAGCTATAAACCTCTCTCTTAGTACTGCTTTTGCTACACTCCACAGATTTTGCATTTTCATTTTTATTTGCATTGAGGTATTTTTTGATTTCTCCTTTTACTTCTTCATTGACCTGATAGTTTGTTCAGTAGCATGTTGTTTAGTTTCCACATACTTGTGGACTTTTCAGCTTTCTTCTTGTAGCTGATTTCTAGTACCATGCCATGGTGGTAGAAAAGATGTCTGATATGATTTCAATATTTAAATTTATTGAGATTTGTTTTCTGTCCCAACATATGGTCTATCCTTGACAATGTTACACGTGCATTTGAGAAGAATGTGTAGTCTGCTACATTCGAACAAAATGTTCTGTATAAGTCTCTTAAGTCCATTGGTCTAATACTTCATTTAAAGCCTATGTTTTCTTTTTGGCTTTCTGTCTGAACAAAGTATCTTTTTTTTTTAAATGAATTTTTCAATTTCTTCCACAAATGTTTCACAGTTTTCAGTATACACGTATTTCACTTACCTGATTAAATTTATTCCTCAGTACTTTATTCTTTTTGATGCAATTATAAATGAGATTGTTTTCTTAATTTGTCTTCCTGATAATTAGTTATTGGTGCATAGAAATGTAACTGATTTTTATATATTAATTTTGTATCCTT